TCCTACACCTTTAGGAAGAGTCACTTTGTGTTATGCTACAAGCATCCTTTTAGAAATATTGGTTAGACGTGTCCACAAATATTTTCTACAAGTAGCTTCGATGTGTTTAATAACCTTTTATGGTAGTAAAATAGACGTGACGTGTCTGCTTGGATACCAAACATTATTGCTCTAATTAGTTGAAGCCTCCGACATATGATAATTTTCTAGCCATCCAATTAGTGATATTTGCTGTAATTTTATCTACTTAAGGCTTCCAATGCAAAATTGTCATCCTTTCAGTAGAGAAAGGAACTCCTAAGTATATAAATGGTAAATCATCTATTTTATAGTACAATGGACTCAATATGTAATTCCTTTTATATGTCCCTAACCACTAAAATAGACTTGGTTATTTAAGTACTTCATTTTCATCATTATGAATGACTAACGCCTTGAGCTTTTGTACTATTTTCAGAAACCTTCAAAAATATAAATATAATGTTCGAAATAAGGCACATGTTGAAGGATGCATATGCAATGAGTATATATTTGATGAAGGTTCATCCTTCTGTTCACACTACTTCGAGCCTCATGTTTACACAAGGCATAGAAAAGTGCCACGAAATGACGATGGTGGCATAGGCGAACAAGATAGATACAATGGTAATCTTTCTATATTCACCTATCCAGGTCGAGGATTTGGGGAACTAAATAGGAGATATCTAACCGAAGAAGAACTCAAAGCAGCTCATATTTATATTTTACTAAATTGCAGAGAAGTGCAACCATATGTGGAGTAAGCTTTCAAGCTTTTGTTTACATTTATACATTATATTTATCAAAATACTTACATATTCTTTTTCTTATATGTGATCCAAAGGAAATTTATTGACTCCCTTCATCAAAATTTTCCACGAATTACGGAGCAGGAAGTGGATAAGAAACTTGATGAAGATTTTGCATCATGGTTCACAAGATATGTGAGCACTTGTACAATATCTTTCCATCTGTACTTATTTCATTTATAAGAAACTCTAATTGTTTTAATTTAATAGGATCGAGTCCACATAAATAATCAGTTCATCAAGGCGCTTGCAGAAGGTCCATGTCGATCAGCGAAACAATACACTGGTTATAATGTCAACGGCTTTAAATTTCACACTAAAGGTCACAGTTTTTCTAGAGCATCTGATAACAGTGGCATTTGCATAAAAGGAACCAATTATAGTGCAGATGACAATGACTACTATGGCGTGCTTACTGAAATTCTTGAATTGGAGTACAAGGGCAGTACACCGATCAAAAGAACAATTTTATTTAAATGTGAATGGTTTGACCCCACACCAAATGTAAGAATGAAGATTCACCCGTAATATAAACTTGTGGATATCAACCATAAAAGGAAATTGAAGAAGTATGAACCATTTGTTTTGGCAATGCAAGCAGCTCAAGTGTATTATGCTTCTTATCCTAGCTTACGATGTGATAAGAATGATTGGTGGGCTATGTGCAAAACAAAAGCTCGGGGTATTGTGGTTATGCCGACGTCATATTTATCGTCTCCTCTAGTAGATGTTGCAGAGCCATTCCAATGTGACAGAGATGGTTTAAGATTTGATGTGGTGTACGATAATGAAAATGTTGTCCGAAATGATCCAAATAGAGAATTCATAAATTTAAGAGATGAGAATGATGATTTAGATGATGAGACAGAATTTCATGATGAACCAGAATCAGAATCAGATGATGAAAATGAGAATGAAGAGGCATACTGTGAAAGTGGCAGTGAATAGAGTCAAAGTGATTAGCTCTAATCTCTTCAAATATAAGAATTAGAGCGACTGAAACGTAGTATATAAGCTGATTTTATTTCAATTAGATTTTATATTTCTTGCTGACAAAGTTCTGAATTTTAAATGTCACCAATTTATATTTCTCCTTTACCAGTGTAATTATTTTGTTTTAATTGTTCTCGAGGTTGTTTTGTTTGAGAAACTATCCCTCACTCTCATTTCGTAATATGAAGTAGACCATTCTAGATCTATGTTTTGAATACTGATGGAATAACTTTATTCTTTGCAGTGTTTATGTTTTTATCTATTGTCTAGGTTAACACATTTTTAACTTTTCAGAGGCATCTTGTTCTTGAAGTGATATATCTACTAATTACCTGTTCTTGTTATAATTTGACCAAACTGGCCATGATTCAATCATTATGTTATTATTTCATCCATATGTAACTTTGAAATTGCAGATATGGCAACAAGGGGGGGTGGACGAAGCAGATGTTCTGGAGAAAGAACATCAGATCCAGTGACATCTCCTCTAATGTCTAGTTTCACACCTGATCAAGCACCATCATTGCCTGAAGTGCCGACACTAGTTATGCCGGATTCAGTTGTTGTCAACAAATCGGTACCATCTTTATCTGTGGGGATAGAAACACCTAGAAATGACATTGTATCTACAACTTCGTCAAATACAACTGATGATACCCGCACCCGAATTGAAGTTGTCTTGGGATGGTAAGTGTACAACATCGTTTCATTTACATTGTTTTGTTTCAGGCAAGAAAATAAGCCATATTGATTTTCTTTCCATACTATTTTTCTATAAATCTTTCAAATTTTTGTTGGTTTTCTTAAATTGCAATGATGGGAATGAATTACAGAATTGAGGTGTTTCTAAAAAATCATTCTTGAAGAAAGTAGCTTGTTAACTGATGTCTACATTTCTCTTATATAAGAAGCAATAGTTGAATGCTGCTACAGAACATGGAAAGGAATCAAATTTGTAGAATGAATTTCCAGAACTTTTGTCTTGATCTACATGTTCGAAATTACAAAGTTGAATGTGCAGTTCCTAGAACTTTTGCTCTTGATCTACATATTCAGATTGTGTGGTTAAATTATTGTTTACTTTGCTTTCAAAAGTATGTTTCTTCTTTTCCCACTGGATCATATCTTACTAAGGGACTAAGAATTGTTAGGAATATGTGAAATTCTCTATAATTTTCTTAAGCTCACTGAATTCTATGTCTGCATTTGAGGTACTCATCTGATGAATTCAAGAGGCTATTTTCTTGTTATTTGCAGAATATGTTTATTTGAAAACTGAGAACATGAACTGCAGAGTACATGTTAATTATTTTGAGTGATATTTCAGTTTATGTTTTGCTTTTATTACTCGTTGGTACTTCTTGTATAAGGAAATAACACTTCTGAGTTTGAAAATGACATACTTGAGCCTATTTTTCTAATCAATAACTGTCTTCTATTTTACTCCCACCCTATAGCTGTTTTTCATGTAGACATCAACTACATGGTGCATTTTTTAGAATCTGATTTGATATTAGTGTCTATGGTGTGACATTTCTTTAATCTCAACACTCCTTATTTCCTCAAGTTTCTCTTATCTTTTGCAGTATATCATTAGAATTCATACTTAGTAATTTTTTTTACTTGTTCCAGATTAAGCTTAGATATGAATCTACGTACTGAACCCAAGCTTAGTATGGGATCCTCACAGCTAGTCATTTCAGGATACGATAATAGTAGGATTTTATAATTTATGTCTAATCATGGTCTCTTTGATAATACTTTCATAAATTTCATATTATTCTTCCTTACTTCCTCTACCTCTTCAGCTCTTATATGTCGATAAAGACATTGATAATACACTCTAGCAACTGCTTGATGTACATAAATAAAATTGAGTATTGAAATAATTACATGTTATATTTATACAAGTTTGGAGCCAAGTAACGATGTATCTCGGGCAATCACAAAAATCTTTAAGGAAAAATTGGATCTCGAAGGATATGATTGGAAGTCAATTACACCAGAGATTACGGACTTCTACTGGGAGGAGTTTAAGGTAAACTATACTATCCGTTTTCTTAGTAACTATTGATTTATTACGAAAGTAGAACTGTACAGATCAAACAAGAAAAAAAAGAGAAAAACATAGCTGATGAAACAGAATCACTACAACTAGCTAAAAGATAAACTTAGGTTGTCTCATCTGCTACATCTAGAAAAAAAAGAATATTTAGGGATACAAGTTCATCGTTTCTAATAATGAAGCAAAATTTCCTATTGTTATTACTCTTATGAAACACCTCTTGGATAGCTTGTCTAACTATAACTTCAGGTTGTCTTGGTGTGCCTTTGAAAATATGTTGATTCCTTTCCATCCAAATATGGTATACACTACCAGCCAAGACAACTCTCTATATATCTGCTTTGTGACTCTTTCATTTCATTAAATTACTTGCCCAGTCTACTTCATCCTTCCGTCCCATAGGAGCTCTTGTTATGCCCTGCCACTATAACAACTTAGTCCATACGTTGTGGGAGGAAGTATATTGATAAAGAAAGTGCTTTATAGTATCGTTTGTATCTCCGCACATTGGACAACTCATATAATCAACAATGCCCCATCCAAGAAACCTATCTCTGGTATATAATCGTCCCAGTATAGCCAACTGCATAATGAATGTCCATTTAGGTGGACCACTGATACTGCAGTTAACCTCCTCATGAGACTTCTTGATAATTTCCTCTAATCGTCACATATAATTTTCTAACAGAGCATTTGGCCTTACTTCCAAGTTTAGCCTTGTTCATTCGAGCTTCTTCAATATACTTTCTCTCTTACCAGACTTGTTTCAACACCCATTATACTTGTTTTGGTACATCTTTTGATACATAATTGTGTCTCCTTCTACTATAATATTCATATACTAATTATACCCATAAATTCCATTTTACTATCATTTTATTTATGTATTTTATTCATTTAAATTTTCTATTATATCAATTCATGTGATATTTTTCTTTTCCTTTTTAAACAGAAGCGATTCCATTGGAATATGACAACTGAAGGTTCCATAAAGGATCATTTTATGAAAAAATGTTCAATACAATACAAGGGTATGTTATGTGAAGCAAGATCCTCTGAGGAGAAACAAAAAAATATCCCAAAATATGTTTGGGAGAGCTGGAAGCCTTACTATGATACTGAGAATTTTAAGGCTAAATCTGCATAATGTTCCAAAAATTGACCAAGGGAGAAATGTGGCGAAGGATCTGGTCCCTCGCGCCATACTGGAGGCTCCCGGACTCACCGAGAGCATCCAAGAAAACTGGTACAATTATTTTCATTTTGTTAAGTTACAGTTTTTTCAACGTTATTCCTCTAGCAATAACTTTGATGGATGTGATTTCAATTTTAGGCGACTATTCTTGGACGGCCACCTCATCCACACGAACTTTTGAAGAAGACACATACCAAAATAAACGATGAGTTTGTGGATATGAAGTCTAACAACACATATGTAAGTAACACCATACATAGCTGATTATCTTTCTTAATTTTTGTTGAGAATATACTTAGTAGTCATTCATCATGTTTATCCCAAATATTAAATACATGGTTATAATATTTTAAGATTATAATGAGAGAGGTTAATGTCATATTAGTGTAGTTGATGTCTCTATATAATTTTCCAGTGTGGATGAAATCTTTAACAGCTAACAAAACATCATTGTGCATCACTGGCCCTGCTTTATCAGTGCAACCGAGACTATCTATAATCTCTTGGTCGGTGACTTTAGTACATAGAGTAGTTTGCTGTTCTAGAGTAAGTGTAGGTACCCTTCTCATAGTCGATATGTCTACTGCTGGTAGCGTAGGAGCTGCAGAATCCATAAGACTCTTCTAAAATGTAACATTTTCGGTTTGTATGACCTGAAGAGTTGTAAGCTTGGTTCTTGATAGAGTAGTTTTTTGTTCTAGAGTAAGTGTAGGTTCCCTACTCATAATCGATGTCTACTGCTGGTAGCGTAGGAGCTGCAGAACCCATAAGACTTCTAAAATGGAACATTTTCAGTTTTTATAACCTCAAGAGTTGTAAGCTTAGTTCTTGATAGAGTA